GCAGCAAAATGCTCCATAAATTATTTTAACATGACAAGCAATCAAATTCAACTGAACATTGGCTAATTGGCTCAGAATATTTACACTTTTTCATATCTCAGAATAAGGTTCAGGCTCGATTTTGCCAAAAGTTCAAGGTATATGTGATATTAAATTACAGATAAAATTGCTGTTAAATACTGAAAGGACCAGGAAAAATAATAATCACAACGAAGTACAGTTGAAATCTAAAAACAGGATTGAAAATGAATTTCATGAGAAGATTGTTCCTTTCCAGAACGGATTAACTGATCAGATGAACAATTTAATCATCACAATCATAAAACTAAACACCAAATAAAAGCACAACAATAATAATATCCGATGAAACCATGGGTATTAAAGTCTTCTCGTTCAATAAATGGTTTACTTTGTTTGCTTGATAAATCCTTGAAAATCATGTTCTATCATTAACTTGAGGATAACAATTGTAACAACCGCATTATCATTATCATCATCCTTATGACCTAAAGAGAGGAGAAAGATTAGATTAAATGGATCATCATTTCATTTTTTATTTTCACTTCTGTTCAACTTCCATAACTTCAACCACAATGGAGTGAAAAAAATATACACAAATCCAACATTGTCCCTGTATGTGGTTTCATTTTCCTTGTTTTACTTGATAATATCATCTGTGTGATATAATATGTGAAATGTATCAATTGGAAGCTGTAAAATGGTTTCAAATAAAATAAAAAGTACAAACGCTTAAATCACTCGAGTCTACGTTTCTTTTTTTACTCATCATTGGAAGTCCTTTAATCTTGAATTTTCATCGAAAATCCTTACCCACTTGGAGATTAGGGCTTGAACAGTGAAACCAGTTAACCATTGAAATACATTGATTATTAGTAGGTTTGCCATCTTTTTTTCACAATTTGTTTCCAAACTTATTTCTCCATCCTAATGATTGCAAATCATTGAAGCTAATAATCGGAGGAAGAGAGATGGTTATTAGGTACAATGGTGCACAATAGTTGTAATGGTGATGATGAGGAGGAAGAGGAGGATCGGTGAAATAT